TTGGCGATTTTTGTGCAAACGAATTTCATAGTGTGGGGTGTGCGATAGACTTACCTCCACGTGGTGCACTCTGGGCAATGTATACTCATAGGGCAAAAAAGTCTATTAACCGGCAGTTGACTTCTGACTTCAAACTACCATCACCCCACTGTATGTCCTATTCAAATACTTTCACAGTATTCATCTTACCTTTTCTCCGCCTTTGTGTCTGTCTGTCTCTTTTACATCTGTGAATTATTATTCTGTCCCCCCTCGACCTTTTGTCAATTTGATGTTCCTCCCCCTACTCTCTGTGAAGCCTGAAGTCAGCTAAAGGACTAATGATAATTATCAAAACGCCTGCCATTTGAAATATATAAATTTCATAGTGCTAAAGGTTAATATATTTCAATTTGAATATAACTATTACAATAAAAGTTTTATGAGTTATGTGAATGAACTTTGAATTCATGCTTTCCTGTGTTGAAGACTTATTGGTTAGCTGAATCAAACTCCCCGGATAGTTTTGAAAAATGAGTTCTCTCAAAAAAAAACAAATCGAATTCCTCCATTTTACTTTAGATTACTGAGACAAGAAACACAGCATTTTACCAATTGGGTAAAAAAGAGCAAACACGTGGAGCTTAAATTCAACTTAAAATTTGACTTACTGTTTCACGCTTATTTGTTTCCAACTGAAAAGAAGATTTCATGGAATTTAAAGATTTGAGTTGATTTCGTGTCTCAAGGGTGGAAGAATTTTCTCATATCACTACACGGCGATTGCCATTATAAGCTAGGTCGGTTTATAGCAATGAGCTGATATTCAAGTTGGAATGATTGCGGTGTTTAACCACTCAACCATATTCTACTTTCAAGGAGTGCCGCCAACTGCAAGAAAGAAGATTCGAGTAGCTTCCAGGGTTCTACAGCCACTCTAGAGGATTCCAGGGAGGCAGCCAACCAAACACAAGGTGAGTGCTCTGTATGGAGCCTTCCCTCTACAGTGTTTTGAGTTAAACTTATTTACCCTTTCTCTAATAAACTCCTATTTTACTCATCTCGCATATAGTAGTTTTGATGATAACAACGCATTACCTATTTTCCATTAAATACATTAACAATAGATTCAGCAGCTTTATTTTAATGGCATTGAAAACGATTCAGAAAAATACGCCATATATGCACCGAGAGCTGAATAAGATTTGATATGAAAATTGGCCAGACATCAAAAGAGAACTGTGTGCAATTGATTACAATTTGAAACGCTGATTACAGCAGGACATATCAAAGGCAGGGAGTCGGCATTAGATTCTCACATATTAATAAGCTTCACTGCACAGATAATTTTACTGCTATTTTTAGTTAATAAGCGACAATTATCTAAGCACTGCGTCAATATAGAATTAAGTCAAAAATTGTACCTTTAAATATGGAAAGAAAGAATTTCTATCTAGAAGCATTGCTTGTGCTTCATTATTCAAACCAGCCTCCCAAAGTCTAAACCAAAGCATGACTGCTGTCGTGATCGTATTTATCCCAATGATTCGTCTATAAAGTCGTAATTTGTATAAATATACTTCAAAAGCTAAACGTAGATTTCTGAGCAATTTCCGGAACTTCAGATATATATATATATACATATATATATATATATATTCATATTGAGAACTTTAGAAACAAATTAAAAAATCGAAGCATCTTCCAGCTTAATAACAATAAAGGTGTTATTTACTCTATTAACACATTATTTTATAGTTAATAAGGGAATAATTTTCAAACGAATACATTTTTACTTAACTTGAAGTACAATATCTGACTACCTACCGAAAGTTGAATCCGCTGTTTCCATCATTTTCAACATCCAAATTAGTGAAGCGATATTTTGGATTGCATTGATTAGCACCAAGATCCAAATCACAGTCCCAGTCAATTAAAATGCCAATAACACCACCCTTAAATTGAAAATGTTAACAAATACAATAATTAGATTAATGAATAATACACGTTTTAAATATGAAAATAATTACGACTTATAAAATTATTTAGAAGGGGTGTGGATATTAGTAAAAGTGCTAGGTATTTCAGCATTCAAATAAGCAAAATTTATTCACTTTCGTTAAAGCCTTTGGTGTAATGCCGACTTCCTTAAAAATTGTTGAAAATTTGAAAATTGGACAGTATTTGTCCACCGGATGAATTGGATCATAACGGCATGAGCCAAGAGGTTTATCAGAAACCCATGCATCTCTATTCTTTCTAAAATTGAAAATAAAAAATAAAGAAATTATTAAACGGAATGGGCTATTTCTCCAATAAGTAGTTCATTTACCTTTTAATTCCAAAATTGGGAAATTCAATGTCATTTTTTAAGTAAACTGTGTAGTTGGAAATCATTTCAAAGCGTTTATTTAAATCATAGTCAATGACAATTTCATCATTTTCGACTGGGCACCAACCATAAATTTCACAAACGCCAACTCCTTCTATATAATCAATACATTTGCCCGTACGTACACCTCAAAGTGAAAAATTCATAATAATTAGGAATAAATTTCAATTTAAGTTTTTCTTACAAATGTCTGCTTACCTGACTCCGAAATCGATAAACGAACTGAGCCACAATCGGAATCGCGTTGACATTGGGATTTTTTACTCCCACGTAGCTGAAAGCAAATACAAATTAAAAATCATTTAAAATGTTCTCTTTGATAAAAAACTTGACATACCGTTGGACATCGACTCGGTTTTTGCATTGGAGTGACTATTGAATGTGTCATGATAAAGAATGCATTGTTTTCAAGTGGTGGATTCACAATTTCAGCGGCGTCATAGATCAATGGTACTCTACTTGTATCATTTTCCCAATACTGAAACATGAGACCTTTTGTTTTCGTTACTGCTGTTGATACCGCATCGTCATTAACTTGGTATCCCTTATCATAAATTAACACCCAACTGTAGATAACAATAAAAAAGAAACAATTTACCAAAATACGTAGATTGCAATTATTATTTGAAGAATTCTGTGAACAACACCTATTTTGTAATTAGTAATCTCGATCATTTTTGGGGTTTCATAAGTAAAAAGAGTCTCTGCAATTTTTTCCCATTTCATCTTGCAATATATTTCCTGTTCGAAAAGGTAAATGGACTGATAAAGTATAAACGATACAATAAAACATATTATGACCTTGAAGGTCTCCCAAAAATTCATTATAAGTTACATTTTTATATATTTTCAACAAATGTATGTTTAATTTTAATTATAAATGCCTTAAATTTATGAAATAGTAAATATTCAAAAAAGAAAATATGAATATTTGTCCAAATTGACTTATATATTTTATTAATATAGCGCATATACGCGATCCTATTTTCATTTAAATTTAAATTAAATCATAATTCTAGTATTTATTCGAAAATGCTTCAGTTCAAGTTTTATTTCCATATGATTAAGACTTTTCTATGCCCCTGCATTAAATACAAGCTCGATATCCTTTAGGAAATTATGGAGTCTAAACACTATTTTTGCATTGCCAGTAGGAAATGGAAGTTCCTCGTTTGAAATATTAATTAAATTTCGCTTCTCTCGGATATGATTATTCATGTAAATCTGAACTGAGTAATGTAATTTTTAAATTTCGGCATAGTATTCTTCCGGTTTTGCTTTACCATGTACACATTTTCAATTAATGATAATTTCAAATTATACATTTTTGCATTCCATTAAAGGTAAATGCATTTTCGACCATTTCCAATTGTGATAAGGATTCTATTCCTTCTAATAATCGAAGTGCTTCATAAAAATTATATGATCGCATGGCCTAATAGTTGCAAAAATTTTTGTACCCTTTTATTTGTTAACGTAGTACTGTTTCCTCAAATTAATATTGAAAGAACATAAGAGAGCTTGATAGTGGAAACTCCAAAAGCTATCGCGATGGAATTTCCATTATTTCATGTTATTTTTATTTATATTACTTTAATTTCATTGATTAAATTAATTTGACCCGATTTTTATGCTTAAAAATGAATACCGAGATAAATGGTAATAATTTCATAACTATCACTAAAATATTTAAATATAAGGGGTATCCTTTTAGTAGAGTTGATTATTAAAAGGACTATATCTGCCTCCCAAGGGGTGTGCGATAAACTTACCTCCACGTAGTGCACCCTGGGCAACGTATACTCATACGGCAAAAAGGTCTATTAATCGGCAGTTGACATCTGACTACAAACTACCATCACCACACTGTATGTCATATTCGACCACTTCCACAGTACTCACTTCACCTTTTTCTACCTTCGTGTCTTTCCCTTTTACATCTTTGAAACACTATTCTGTTCCGCCCCCACTCCCTCGACTTTTTGTTCACTTTGATGTTCCTCCCCCTTTGTGAAGCCTATAGTCAACTAAAATGCGATAGTCAGATCTCCCTGACCGATTAATTTAACAATTAAATGTTCTAGCAGATCATTCTTACCCGCTTAAATCTATTACAAGCAGATGTTTTTAGGTAGATGAGATCATTATTTCAAATGGCAAGCGGTTTGATAGTTATCATTAGTCCTTTAGCTGACTTCGGGATTCACAGAGGGGGGGGGGAGGAACATCAAAGTGACAGAAAGTCGAAAAGAGGGCTGAAGAGTGATTCACAGATGTAAAAGAGGCAGACAGACAGACACAAAAGTAGAGAAAAGGTAAGATGAATGCTGTGGAAGGAGTCGAATAGAACAAAGAGTGGGGTTATGGTAGTTTGAAGACAGAAGTCAACTGCCGATTAACAGACTGTTTTGGCGTATGAGTATACGTTGCTCAGGGTGCACCACATGGAGGTAAGTCATTCGCGCACTTTAGATGAGATCATTAATTGCGTTCGAAGCATAGCAGACCACGGCGTCTCCAAGATTTATAATTCCATGTGCTAAGCTTAGTACCGTGCAACTAAAACGTCTTTCTTTAGACCGAATACTGTTTAAGTTCTTTCGCATATCTCTGTCCTATCTATGAGGTAGACAAATATTTTTCTCAAAATACAAAAATGGCCTCGATCTCTCTTTCAGGTTAGTGTTATGAAGTTCTTGTTGGAATTAAAGATCAGCAATTTGGTTTCGTTCCAATGAACCCAAGTATTAACGCCCACTAAAACAAAGCATTATGACTTCCATCATCGAACATCAATGGCTTTATATTGAAGTATAAAATGTTGGATACCTGTCATTACTTAGGCCTTCAGTTGCTGAAGATGATAGAATCTAACCACATTAGTTTGTATGTTAATAACATAAAAGATTGTTTATATTGTTGGCACAGATGATAGGCACGAAAATAACTCTCAGTGAAATTGACAATTACAGTAAAATACCAGTGATGCATGTTATAAAAGGCAGTTAACAAAATTGTTTCGAGGAAACATCAGTCTTCATCCGTACTTAATGCTATTAGCCAGACATCGGCTATCAAAATCAAATTTAGTGGATGACATGTAAACATAGCAAAAATGAACTATAATTATTTCGGTCCATTAAGTACGGCAATCCTATTTACAAGCAGCACGAACATTAATATATATATTTGCCAAAAACAGACAATCAAACCTCGGGTTGAACAGTTAATCCATGTAATTACTTATTTACCTCCTTAAATATCTGTCATTCTATCCGCTTCTTTAAACATTTCAGTGAGGAGTAGGAAGGATTAAACAGATTCTTCTAGGATTTTCAAGATAAACAACACTTTCAACTTCAAAGGTGTTCATTTCCTTTGCATTTTATCAACATGGACCATAACCAGTCATCCTAATCGACAAATTATAGTGAATAGAGTGAATTCTCCTTAGATTACCGGGTCACTCGGTGAGAGGTACTAAAATTTAGCTGTTGCCATCTATTTGTCCCATAATAATTTAGGTTAATGGGCATCAGATTCAACTAAGAAGCGGATAAAGCGACAGTGCTTGGGCCGATTTTCACCATAATTGGGCTCCTGTCGACAAATGAATGAACCATGTTACTGTCCCCTCCCCCTCCCCCCCCCATGCAAAAAAGCAGTCAATCTGGCGTTTAAATGGTGAAAGGCAATTTTAGTTACTTCACTTTTGTTTCTCATCTTATTCTGTTCTCTCCATTTGCACAAAAATACACATTCGGTTTATGTCGATTTTAAATATTTTAACAAATCAAACAGATTGACTAGTTTTGAGTCAAATAAAAATATTTGCCAAGATATTTAATTTTTATATTCAAATAGCAGGCTTTATGATATTTATCATTAGCCCTTAAACTTTGACTTCAGCTTCCCCCGTGGGTAATGATATTTATCATTAGCCCTTAAACTTTGACTTCAGCTTCCCCCGTGGGTGAAGGGTATATTTATAGCAGTTAATTAATAGCAGTTCATTAGCCGACTTCTTGCTTCCCAGTATCTTTAGCTTTCCGTCGTTGTCTTTAGGGCTGGAAACCGAATCAGGTGGGTCTTCTCCATTTCATCCTGTAGGTTACATAGGGGGCATGTGGGTTGAGTGTATACTCCCAATCTGTGAAGATGTTTTGCCAAGCAATCGTGTCCGGTACGTAGTCTAAACTCAGCAACGGCTTCGATTCTTGGCCAGTCAGCTATGTCGGAGAGAGCCATTCTCAATTGTTTCTTCTTTGTTCGAGCTTTAAGTTCGTTGCACCTTGAGGTCTGGAATTCTCTTCTGATTAAGGCCTTCATTGTGTGGAAAGACATCTGCCGGTCCATGCATTTCAAATCGTTGTCCCCTTCTTAGCAAGTGTGTCAGCAAGCTCATTGCCTTTAATGCCAGTGACCAGGAATCCATTGTAGGACCACTGTTTTGTTTTTCTCTCTCAGCAGCTCATAGAGTTTTCTACATTCCTTTATCTTAGCTGTTTTGGGTGCCTCTCTGCTTCCAATTGAGTTTATTGCTGACTGTGAGTCAGAAATTATCACTGCTTTGGTGAATTTCGTATCCAGGCATCATTATTGTCATAGTGCCATCTTAATGGCCTCTATTTCTACTTCAATAGCGGATTTATTGTGTCCCGCTGCTGCGTAGAAAGAGAAGAGTTCAGAATAGACACCTGAACCAACGTTTGTTTGGTTTTCTATGTATGACTCATCAGTGAAGACTTGGTGCCATTGATCCCCAGGATAGTTGCCATTGATTGTCTCAAGGGCCAGTGAGCGCATTTGTTCTGGAGGGATGTTTGATTTCCTGATGAAGTTAAGCAGTTGGGCGCAACACACTACATCAGTGTCTGCTAATGGGTTCATGGATAGAGGGAGGCTTTTTGGTTTGCCATCGATTTGTAATTCTTTCTTCAGATCTATGGTTTTCTGTATTAGACCAGATTGCGTTTTCAGGTGTCTTGGTCTATTCTCATAGGTGCTGAAGAACTTGTCCATGGGAATGCGCAGTAGCTTCTCATACAGGATCAAGGCCTTTTCTTTGATAAGGGAACCTATTGTGGTGCTCCCTGTAACTAGGAGCATTGCATCAATGGGTGTTGATTTTATCCCTCCAGTAATTAGTCGTAAGGCTTGGTTGTGTGCCTTCTCGAGGGGTTTGAGAGTCACCTCTGTGGCTGTAATGAGTGGCTCACAGCAATACAACGTTATTGGCTGAATAAACATCTTGCAAGTGGTGTTGAGAGTTGAGCGCGCACAGCCCCATACGCTACCAGCAAGACGCTTCAGTACATTCAGTCTATTTGAGACTTGTTCTGCTATTTTAGCAAAGTGACTTTTCCACGTTAGCTTTGTGTCAAACGTCATTCCGAGATATGTGAACTCATTGGTTTTTCTATGGTGTATCCTTGTACCTTAGAAGTGGGTTATTGCTGTGACAGGCCAAAGAAAAAGTTTGGAATGCAAATTGCCGGTATTTAGGTAGATTGTACAGGGTGCAACCTGGGAATTGGTAGTATTTCAGTTTGTCATCCGAAAGGTTTACTTCCATAATTGTGAAAATGTCTACATCAAAGGTTTGTAGGATTTTCTGGACTCGGATCTTTTTGTCCTGTGACATCCCTCCAGCATTCCACTGGAGGATCTGTAGACGTTGTAATTCGCCCTGACGAGGGCGATTTCTCTTATAGCCTTGTTTCAAGCTAATCATAATAAATAGAAGTCAAATCAAATGCCGAGTAATAGACTTTTGCCGTACGAAGATACGTTGTCCAGGGTGCACCACGTGGAAGTAAGTCTAT